ACGATCATCAGCCGCCTGACCCCCTGCCAGGATACCACCACCACCCCCACCTCCTCCCTCTCACTGTGGTTCCCATTGTCCTCAAGATAAATCTGTCCAAGTGGCTGCAGGATCTGGCCCCACCCCTCTCAGCCTCTCTGCTGTCCTTTAAGCCTTTCATGGTCCCATCCAATCCAACTAAAGGAGGTTTCATTTAGTTGCTTGAACATACGATGCTCCCCGTCTCACCCCAGTCCCTTTTCCGGACCTATTCCTGTCCCTCCCTCAGCTCTCCTTCAGCTGTCACCTCTCCAGGGAACGTCCTTTGACGCCCTAGCCCAGGTCAGCCTCTCCCACAGTGAATCACTGTCACCCACTCTACCACCCTCATCCACCTGCCTGCCCCTCCCTGGTGCCCACTTACTGTCTGTCTCCCCACAGAGGAAGAAGCTCTGTGGGGTGAGGATCCTAATTATCTTGTTCACCACCCCACGCCCCCGCATCCCCACCCCCACCCAGCACAAGCAGTGCAGCATCAGTGATGTTAGTTTGGGGACAGCTCAAAAAAATTGCTTTGGACGAAAAAAAAACAAGAAAGGAAGAGGGGAGGGAGGGAGGGAGGAGTTTATCATTTGTTAAAACTCTCAGTGTCTCTTCTGCGGCCAGGGCATGAAAAAGAATCCTTAAGGTGTCTATCTGCTGATAAGAAAGGCTAAAGGGTGCCCACAGGTGCTGAGTAAGGAGCAGCAAAACTCTCAGTGTACTCAGGGCCCGGGCGGGGTCACTCACCTGGGCCAGCCCCCGCCACTCCTGGCCCAGACACCAGCCCCATTGGTCGTCACTGCCGGGCAGCTCAGGGTCTGCTCCTTGGTCTCCTAGGCTGGGCCTGAGCCACAGACAGGAGCACAGCCTAGACAGCTTTGGCTAAGAGCCAGCCACATGGTTCCCTGGGGCTCTCCCACCTGACTCACCAGCTGGCTGGTATATGCCTGTCTGTCTGTGCCTCTGTATCTGTGTGTGCCTATACATCCATGTGTGCACACAGTCTGGCCTTACTCATAACAAACCCAACACAACCGCAAGTCTCAATGAGGCCAATGATTTTTAGACTCAGCTGGGCCCAAGAAGAACACATGGCTTGGCCCCTGCCCAGGGTGTCTCACCTAAGGGAGGGAGGGACAGAAGAGAGAGCAGAGCTGACATTCCACAGAATCTATGAACGGATCGAGAGAAAAACCCAGCAAGAGCCCTCAGCCCAGTATGACCCAGCAAGTGTCCCAGCAAACATGATTCACTGAGATGCTCTGTAAAATGCAGTGCGGGGAGTCTGAGAAACGTAGCTCACCATATCTATCCCCCGCCCGCCCCTCCACAAACACAGAACCACAGTCCACACTGGCATAGTCAGGGCTCTGCAAAGTCCCGCAGAAAAGGTATCTGTTAGAGGTTGCTTAATCCAGCAATTTATCAGCTAGATGATAGAGATAGACATACAGACAGACAGATGATAGATGATAAAAACGCGTGTGTGAGAAAGAGATTGAGATTGATTTTGTAGTTAATAAAGTCTACAGAACACACTCGCAAATAACACTGATCTACACCAGCCATTTTCATTTCACAAATGAAGTCACGGGGACTCAGGAAGGGCTTTGCCCAAGGTCACACCTCTGGTAGAAGCCAAAGCTGGGACTGAACCCAGGCCTGCGAATTCCCAGGTCTGGGCTCTTTCCAACAGGCCCTGTTCCCTTTGTTGTGTTTAACTCTAAACCCCAGGATTTCCGGCGCTCCAAACGATCGATGCTATTTTCAAAACAAATCCTGGCGTTTGTGATTGCCATCGTGATGCCACATGGCTTCTCTGGCAGGCATGCCCTCTGCTGAGGAAGGTGCTGGGTCCTGCATCCCAGGCCCTCAGGCCCACCATGGCGGGGGCAGGGCCCGGAGCAGAGGCCTGTACATGGGGCCCGGTGTGGGCCCCTGGCTCTGGCAAGGCCCAGAGCCCTGGTACTTGGAACCTGCTACTCTATTTGAGTCAGAGAGGTAGCTCTCCTGGTAGGATAGGTGTCCTCACATGCGGACAGGAGCGCGCCATGTCATCCACAGAGATCAGGTTGGACAAATGAAAGCTGGGGCCTGACCTAGGCCTTGCAATGTTTCCACGGGGCTCAGCAGCCGGAACCTCAGCTGCCTTCCACGCCGCCTCCCTCAGCTACAGCCCTGTCAGCTACACCCCAGCTCCCACATCCTACCCTCTGGGCTCCCCGCCACAGCGACCTCTCCCCCACTGCACTCACAGCACAGATAGATGCCCATGATCTTCAGTGGGCACTCAGCATCCATTAACCGCCGCCACATTGTCGCTGTTGTATGGCTACTCAGTGCTTCACGCAGGCACTTCCTGTCTCCCCGGGCAGCCTTAGTGCTTCCAGGGCACAGGGCAGGCCCTGCTCTCTTAGGGCCATTGCTGAGCTCTGGGGGGCATGGGCATGAAAGGGAGAGAGCTGCCTCACAGTGCCTGGCGTGATGCTTGGCACAGCACAAGCGCAGAGGGCTTCCCTGGGCTTGGTCGGCAACCCCAACAGCAAAACAGAATTCCTGCTGAATAGGGATGGCATCAGACGGAGGATCATGGAGCAGTGGGCTCAAGGTTCCCCGGGACGTCACATGACCAGTTGCCTCTTCAGGGTCTCAGGCCCCTCAACAGCACAATACAGGAGTGGAGGATGTGAGTAGAAACTTCTGGCTCTAAAACTCCGATGTGGTTATAGAGTCATAAGGAGAGGAAAATCAAGGCCCCTTTTTATCGTCCTCTCCTCCAGCCCAACAACGCAGGAGAAATTGAACAAAGACTTGCACCCAGGCTCAAGCAAGGGCACTACCCTCTTCCCCAACTCAAGGCACCTTGCAGGAGTGAACCTGGCAAAACACACGTGAGACCCAAAAGCCAGTGGCTTGTGACATGCTAACAAAGTCACATTAAGTAGGCGCTTCCATCACGAGGACAGATCCTTTTGGCCCAGATAATCAGGGTCAGATATGGATGGGAAGCTGCGCAGTGACACAGTCCCACCTCCTGATCTTCGGGCTAAGGTCCCCAAGAGGCCCGTCTCTCCTCCTGCACTCTGCCCCCACCGCAGACCTTTGCGGGCTGTTGCCTGAGCCCTCCACAATGAACAGCGATGCTGTTTCAGCAGCCCTGTCCCCGCCACATCGCCCAGGGTCCCTCCATCTCTGAAGCTTCTCTGTGGCCGGCCAGCCTTATGGGGCACCATTGCCCATGCGTCCTCCTTTCTCAGGGAACAAGGCCTCTGGGGGTGAAGGCAAGACAAACACAGACCCGCAGACAGAGCAGAAAAGAGTCAACAGCCAGCCCTGTGTGTATCTGCCTCTGCCCCTGAGACACACGGCCCAGCTCCTGGGGGCCTGCCAGGCCGGCCTATTGTTCCGGCACTGTTTGCCTTTGGGGCGATGGGTGCCTGGAGTGGGAAGGAGAGAGAACCTGGTGTGGGGGCAGGGAGCAGGGCAAAGCACCAGACCAGGCAGCCAGACCAGGCAGCCGGACCCTGCAGCAAAGGCCAGGGTGTGGGAAGCCCCCCGGCAAGGATCCCCGGAGCCAGCAGGCTGCCTGCCCTCCTGTCTGCAGGCTCAGATGTCCCCACCTCTGCGAAAACCTCTCAGAACCAACACCTTCTCTCTCCCAGGCCCCTCAGAGCCCAGATGACTTCTCAGGTCTCCCCTCCCTCTCATCCCTGTACACACACCCCCACCCTCGCTAAAGAAGTTCAGGGAGACAAGTGCTGCCCAGAGGGTGATTGGAGACCTGCTTGGGGCTGGGCTGGGGCGGGGCGGGGGATGCACCCGGAGTTGGTTTGCACGTGTGTCTGCCTTACAAAGTCCATCCTCCCCCAGCCTGTGACCTGGGGCTCCCAGATGACTGGGTGTCTACGTCTCCCTCAGCAGTGTCACCCACACGCCCAGAGCCGCTCCAGCTGCTTCCCTACTGAATGAGGCTCTGGGTCCAGAGATTTGTCACCCAGAGCTGTGGGACCCTGTACCAGCCACTCCTCGTGGAAAATACGGGGTTAGTTTCATGTACCTCTAAGGGCCCTTCCCACTTCAAAGGGCCACAACCATAACCATAGGGTTAGGATCTCAAGGTCCCCTTCCATGGCAGGGCAGAACTTGGTATTACAAACATGCAATAGGAAGGATCCACGCTTTTGGTCGGAGACAGTTCAAGCCACAAACTAATACGTGATTCTATTACGGTGTCGATACCATATTCTGTGCCACACCACACTACGGGCTACACACCACATGTTGTCTATTATCACACTGTAGGGTGTGATACACAATTTGGAGTATATTCCACACTTTGTGCATATACCATACTTTAGGGGACATATGTACACTTTGAAGTATGTACACACTTTAGGGCATACAGACATGCTGAGATATAGACGCACTATGAATAATTACACACTTGGGATATATCCCATACTTTGTGTACATAGCATACTTTGTATAGAGACCTCGCTTTGCATTCTGCAAAGTGGTAATGATGTGACACTGGCAAGGCCCCGGGTTAAAAAGTATAGACCCTGCAACTAGATAAAGCTGGATACAAAGCATTCCTACCTCTTGTTAACCTTGAGCAAATCCCTTGCCTTCTGAGACTCAGTTTCTTTACCTGCAAAATAGGGATAATAATAGTCTATATCTCACAGGGTTGGTGGGGGGTATTAAACACAGCAAAACCTATAGTGGGCTCATCAGTGTCACCACATAAGAACCACTTGGTAAGTGGTAGCTTTGTTATTGCTTGCTCTTGTAAAGGTGAGTGTTTTATAATGTCCATGTATTTTTTAATTAAAAAAAGTGTGTGGTGGGGGTGTGTGTATCCAGATGTTCTCAGAGTCTCAAAGCTTTTGGAAACTCAAATAATAGACAAGACCATTTAATTCATATTTATTTTACATTTGATCTGTAAACTTTTTATTTAAAAAAATCCACTGTCATTAGCAACATGTGCTGACATTAATTTTTCTTTAGTAAAATAAGAACGCAGGCCTTAAAGAGTCTCTGTCTCAAATGTGTAGAATCCCGAGGTAAACACGAGGTCTCCGCCCTCCTCCTTAGACTTTGGGAATTCATCAGAGATAGGATCTCAACCGGGAAAACAGAGGGAGGGAAGGACACCACTTTGATACTAAGAGCTCTTGGGGCAGGAACTGTACAGTTTGGCAGGCCCATTTGTCTTTTCAAACTGTTTACCTTGGGCAAATCGTATCAGGTTTGCCTCTTCCACATAATTTACACTTCCCTGTGTCTAAAAACAGCAGCTAAACGATTTCCCCACAGTCAGCACTTTGGGAGACAGAGGGGCACACATACACATAAAGTAGAAACATACATATTCTTCAAGCAGCAGCCCCGGAGAAAAGACGGGAGGGGCCGCGAGAAAGAGGAGGTTTTAACGTGAGCTGCTGGCACGAAGGGACAAGTGGGATAATGGCTTTGTCCATGGGCTGACGCAGGGCAGGAAGGGTCATTACTTCTGTGTCGCTCCCCCACTGCAGTATTTACATAGGAAAAGGCAATCGTGCTGTTAGGCACAGGGAAAAATAAAAAAAAAATAAAAATAAAAAAAACCGGACAAATCTTTCCCGCCTCAGGAAATCTCCAAGCGGTCCGGGCCCAAAGGGACAGTCACCAGTTGCTGGTGAAAAGGACACAGAGGGAAGTAATGACGCTAGAAAACGGTGTGCAGATTGCAGAGGGACTGGGCCTGAACCAGACACAACGTGTCTGCCTCCAGGGCATCACCAACAGCCAGGATTCCGACGACAAAAGCCAAGCGACAATAGGGACCCCTTCTCCCCCATCAGGCATGTACTATCAAAAATAGTGTATATTTACAGTGGGGGATGGGAGGGCGGGCTGGGCTGCCCTGAGCTTCGTTTAAAAATAGAGTTGGGAGGAGGGGAGCCCAATTAGCCAGAGCTGGGTAACCCCTTCCGTTAACCCTTTGTGAGCCATACCCTCTGGGGTTCAGCAATTGCTCAGAGCTGCTCTGGACTCGGGGGAGGTGAAAACACCTTTAGGAAACAATACTGATGAGGGGCGGCCCAAGGACCCTGGAAGATCACTCGGAATCCCAAGCGGCCCTAACAATAACTCGCGGGTGGGGGTGGGGGGCCACCCAGCCGGTGTTTTTCCCCGGCCGGGAAGAGCAGATGTTCGAAGGCGGCCGCAGAGCAACAACCGGGCCAAGACGCACGGAGTAGGGAGACCCCCCGTTTTCAGCGCGCTGGGACTGTGTAGACGCGCCCTCCGATCCCCGCCGCCTTCGGTCAGCGCGAGTGCGTCCGCGGGGGAGGGGGTGTTGCGGGGTGGAGCGCGGCCTCGGTGCTCACACGATCCGCTTCCTGTCTCCGCGGCAGAGGATCTTCTTGAAGGCGCGGCGAAAGTCGTGGTTGAAGATGGTGTAGATGACCGGGTTCAGCGAGCTGTTGCAGTAGCCGAACCAGAAGAAGAACTTGAAGAGCGTGCCCGGCACGGAGCAGCCGACGGCCGTGAGCGTGTAGGTGAAGAAGAAGGGAAACCAGCACACCACGAACACGCCGATGACCACGGCCAGCACGAACGTGAAGCGCTTCTCGCGGTTCTGCCGCCCGCGCCAGCGCGACGTCTTGGCGCCCCCGCCGCGCTCCTCCCCCGGCCCGGCCGCCGGCGCCCCGGGCCCTGTAGCCCCCGGCCCGCGCCGCGGCAGGCTGTCCCCGGGCTTCACCTGGCTCTCCCGGGCCTTGCCCTTGGCCCGGGTGCCGCGATCAGACCTGCGAGTCCCCGGGGGGCGCTCCGCGTGCTCGGACGACGAGCTCTCCTCCAGGTCCAGCGCGTCGGTGTCGCGCGGTCCGGCCGGCGCGGGCTCCCCGGGGGCACCGTTGAGCTGGGCGGGCAGCGGCTCGGCCTCGGCGCCCACGGGGCCCACGAGGCCCACGCCGCGCTCGGGGCCCAGGCCGTTGGGCCTGCGCTCGGCGCTCCCCGGCGGCGCGGTGTCCGGGCCCCGGCGGCTGGGCGGCACGCGGGTGCGGCGCTTGGCGATCTGGTAGATGCGCACGTAGACCAAGATCATTATGAGGCAGGGCGCGAAGAAGGAGCCGATGCAGGACGAGATGACGTACCACTCCTCTTTGTTGATCTCGCAGTGCGGCTCTGCCTGCTGCTGGCCGCCGCTGCCCTTCTTTTCGATGGAGATGAGCGGTGGGAAGGAGATGACGGCCGAGATGACCCACACCGTGACGATGATAGCCTTGATGCGGCGCGGCGTGCGCTTCAGGTTGTACTCGATGGCCTGCGTAATGGACCAGTAGCGATCCAGGCTGATAGCGCACAGGTGCACGATGGACGAGGTGCAGAAGAGTACGTCGAGCGCCAGGTAGATCTCGCACCACGCTTTGCCGAAGTACCAGTAGCCCATGACCTCGTTGGCCAGCGAGAAAGGGATCACGAGAGTGGCCACCAGGATGTCGGCCGAGGCCAGAGACACCAGGAAGAGGTTCTGAGGTGCCTTGAGCGCGCGGCTTGTGAACACGGCGATGATGACCAGCACGTTGCCGAACACGGTGACCAGCATGAGCAGGCCGGCCAGGCACACGAGCGTCAGCGTCACCTGCAAAGAGTAGGGGGTGGCCCGGGCACCGCCCCCCGGCGCCTCGGTCCCATTCCAGCTCGCGTTGCCAGCGTCCGGCTGCAGGGAGCCCATGGGCGCAAAGCTGCCCTCGGCCAGCGGCTGCTCCTGGCGGAACATGAACGCGGGTGCCCGCTCGCCTGGGCCTGCTGCCAGCTGCCTTCCGGCCCGGAGCCCGTGGGTCCTCCTCTTCCTCCCGCGCCCCGCTCGCCCCGCGGCTCCTCACATGGGTAGAGGGCCACAGGGAGGTCGGGCCGGAGCTGGCCGGCCGCTAGCGTCCCATGAGCCCGGCGAACGGCGCCCTACCTGCGTTTCGGGCGCCCGAAATGGGCGCCTTCTGGCTCCCAGCTCCTAAACACAGCCAAGTTTTATTTCTAAGGGGCGGAAGAGATTAGGTCGAGCCGATGGGGAAAGAGATTTATTCTTCCAGAGGAGAGAGCAAAAATCACTGCTGGCCTGATGACTTGGAAGGATAAGAGGAAATTTAAAACATATGTATATATCTATGTCTTGACTCTTGAGCCTGAGCGAAAGCAAGAGGTCTTACCGTGTGCGGGGCCCGCCCCCACCCCGGGAGCAGCCGAGGGGTGCTGATGCGGGCTTAGGGTCCTATGTCTGTCTCCTTACATCCCCGAAGCGAATACCAGCTCTCCTGCTTCCCCCGGACGCGGCGGGGCCACTGGAGCCAGGGCTGGGGCCGGGGTGCGGACTCTGCCGCCTCTCGGAGCGCCGCGGGACTTCCAAAGTTGCGTGCCCTGCTGGGGCTGGGGAGCAGCGCGCGGAGCTCGGAGGCGGCGGCGGCGGCGGGGTGAGAGGTGTGGGGGCCGCATGAAGGCGCCCCCGTCCTCAGGCGGGCCGGGGCGGGTGCGCGCTCGGCCCTCCACGAGCCGCAGTCTAGGCAGAGGGTCTCTTGGGCGTCGGCCTGGCGCGCTGCTGGCGCTGAGCGCGACCGGACTCGCCAGGGTCCGAGGGCAGCGTGAGTTGGGGCAGGAGCTCCGAGCTGAGTGTAGAAAATGCTGGGGGTGGCCGGGCGGCGGCGCGCCGGCTGCCGGGCGTCTGCACAGAAGCCAGATCTGCTGCTGCTCCGCCGCTCTCGCCGTGGACTGGTTTTATAGCCCCGGGATCAAGCCGGCGTTGCTGAGCAGCCGGCGTCAGCCCCCACGTGGGAAACCGACCCTCCCCCGCCCCTTGCACCTCCCCTTAGCGGGTCCAGCGCCCGCGCCCTGCGCCCCGCGCCGGACCCAGGGGAGCGCTGCCTCGCTAGCCGGACCTGCCCTTTGGAGAGGCGGGTACCGTGAGCAAGGGGTTTAAGGAGCGTGCCTGGGGAGTAGGGAGCGGCCCCTGCTGGGAATTGGCAGGGCAGCTACGGGCCAGCCCAGCAGAAAGAAGCAGGCACCCGGGAATGTCCCCGACGAGCTGGGTCCTGGGAGGAAAGGGGTTGGGGACCCCGATCCGAAACTGAAAAAGCAACCAACAGTACGGGTCGCAGCTAAAGCAGTCGCGCCATGAGCCGGGAGTGTGGACCCGTAAATGCTCCAGGAGGCCAGGGAGAGTAGAGTCCGTGAGAAAGGAAGACCCAGGTTCGGATCGACTCCCTGGGGCGGAATGGTAAGCGCCTCCCGGAAGAAGCTTCGGCCAGAGTTCAGAGCTGCTCTTGGGAGAGGGTGACCAAGTGAGGTCCGACCCGCAGAGCGGTCTGCGGACCGCTCCGGCTTACCGCGGTGGGGAAGGGGTCTCGGAGGCGAAGGCCTGTCGCTGCGACAGAGCGAGGGCGCACTGACACCTGCTGGCGGCTCGTCGGCACCGCTGGGAAGCTACCCGCCAGCTCGAGGCGCTTTCTCCCCACGCCCCTGCAGTCCTTTGCCTCAAGCGCCTTCTCCTGTCTCAGGACAAGTCTGGGTGGGTCCAAGCTCAGGAAAGTGGGACCCAGGTTTTAAATTGCATCGTCTTGTTGGAGAGAACACACTTTTTTATGTCTGCCCTCAGCAGGAGCAGGACTTTGCCTGGTGAAGTCACATCAGGAAGGGCTCGGCAGGCATCAGAGCTCAGGACTGGCACCCACCCTGGAATGGCAAAGCCCGCTAGGCGCCCCGCAGATCCGAATCGTTGTGCCTTTGCTGCAGAGGAAAAGCTAGGCTCCACCCCCTACCCCGCTCCCAGTTTAGATGCACACACCATCTTTTAGTAAGGGGAGGTGCTGGCCAAGAGGAGGGAGGTTGTCTGTGTTCTCTCTGATAGGAATAGCACAGAGTGGGGTGAGTTGTTTGTTTTTCTCTGTATGCTAGATGTCCTCTAATAAATTGTATTGTGTTATTTGCACTTCCGAAATAAGCAGCAGGCAGTTTATTGGTAGGGCTCAGGAGGATAGGGACTTAGCAGAAAAGAGATTAGACCTAAAGAAAACTTGTCTTACTTAAGGATCCACCATAGCAGATTCCTCAGGCAGTCACCTCAGCTGGAAGTTCCGAGGTTTGAACAGATCACCCCTGCGCAGCAGGGTGCGGGCTCAGACCTGGTGGGGCGCTGAGGACTAGTAGTTGAAGGCCTTGAGCATCACCTTCAACACCAGCTGATGATAGTTATTGAGGCTGCTGCTCTTGATGTAGTCAGAGTCTAGCTAAAGTATTTTCAAAGTACTTCACACAAATGTTTACCTCCTAGTCTTTGCTTGGGGGGGGGCGCGGGAGAGTGGGGGGTGAACTCCCCTTCCTCTCTTAATTCTGAGGAATCTCTCTAATCCTCTTTTCTGAACAATCTCAAGAAGGCCAAACAGGCAGAATTTCCTCCCTCTGTGGAGTCCATCATTTCCCACCTCCTGCTCAGATCTCGGCTCTGAGTCTCTTGACAGGGGCAGAAGCTTTACACTAGGCTCAGCTGGAAATGTGGTTACACTCATCTTTGCATAGCAACCAGGAGCCCCAAACGTCAAGTATAAATGCTACGACAGACAGCAAGCAAAGCCCGTGGCACTCTGGGCTTCGCCGTGGTGTTCACAGCACGAAGGGCGGAGTACCCGGAGGCCAGCGCTGCCCCTCGCTGCACCAGAAGCTACCATACTGCTCTTCTTCCTGCCTCACTTCAGAAGCAAAAGGGGAAATGAAAAGAGAGACCACAGGGCTTTTCTTTCTCGAAATCTCTGCTACTAGTCTGTGTATGACACCTCTTGTCACATTTTCTAAATGCTTCCCAAACAGCCAGTTGGTTTCTTAATTCCTGGGTTTGGAGTCTTTTCTCCTAAAATGGGAACAGGCCTTTCAAGGATCTAGGCCAATAAACAATATTAGTATGCATCATGTCCGGGGCTAGGTACAGAGTCCCTTTATAGGCAGAGTTCCTCTTGTCATGTGTACCTCATCACCAAAGGCTCTGCCTCCTTAGTTTGACACACAGGGTCGGTGTGTCTGAGCTCTGAAAAGCTACCGGACACCATTATTTTTGTTACAAGATTTAGTGCTATGCTGGCCTACCTAGTGAGACAGCATTGAGTGGAGAGACACCCACGAAGACAGTAATTCTTAACCGAGCCTACATCTCAGCATTGCCTGGAAAGGTAAAATACACTTACCAGTGCTTCACCAGGGTAATTATGATTCAAGTCGGATGAATCATAATGGGACGCAGTTTGTGTATTTTAACAAAGCTGCTTGGGAGAAACTCACACACACGCTGCTTAAGACTCACTGCCCTAAGCAATAAATTTTAGTGGCAGCCAGGGCGGGGGTTCAAATGACCTGAAGACTTTTATCAGGCTACCCTGAGCTATGAAGAATGGGTCCCAGGTTGAGAATCGCTGTCCCGGTGGGGGAGCGGGACAGCTAGAAGGGTGTCCCTCTGGGGATCTGGCAGGACGAACACACAGTGGAGAGCCGTTGCAAATACGGAGGTGCCTTTCATGACTTGAGGAAGAGGCAGGTCTGGGCACACAAATAGAGAGGTCCATTATTATTTCTACTATTAATAAAAGTAAATACACCCTGCATAGCTCAGTTGATTGGGAAGCCATCCCGTAAAATGAAAGGTCACTGGTTCGATCCCTGGTCAGGTCACACTCCTAGGTTGCAGGTTTGATCCCTAGTCAGGGCATATAGGGGAGGCTACTAATTGATATTTCTATTTCACATCTCTCTCTCTCTCTCTCCCCCTCCCTCCCCCCTTCTCTAAAAGCAATGAAAAATAATAATAAATGTATTAGCACTGACTCCCTGTCAGGCACAATGCTGAGCAGTTTATATACCAGATATTTTATGTTATTCCCAAAACAGCCCTGATATGTAGCTATTATTATTACCAACGTTTGCAGATGGGGAAGACAAGGCTCTGAGAGCCTAAGTAGATTGCCCAGCTAATAAGCAGCAGGGGCAGACCTGGACCCCATGTTTCCTGATTATAAGTCCAGCAAGATTTCCAACCCCTCTTCTGAGGATCTCTGCCCTCTGCCATTGTGACAAAGGGAAACCAGCAAGAGGGTCATCAGGAATGAGAGTGGTGACAAGCTGGCAGATCCTCCGTGAAGCCCTGTGCTCCCCATCTATTCGTGGCTACTAGAGCAAGCCAGAATAGAGCCAGACGTGTTCTTTCATTCCATGTAGGGTGCCTGCTGAGTCAGAAGAAGCATCGAACACAACAGTTCCCAGTGGCCAACCTGCTGGACAGCAAGCACCACACTGACTGGTTGTGCAACGGAGATTGCTGGCCTCCCAGCAATTGGTGGGAGCAGCCACTCCTTCTCACATTTCCTCCGTAGCTTAGGTAAACCCTTATTGCACTAGCTCACTGCTCCTTTTGTACTATGGTCTAGTAAGTGGAAAGGACTGTCCTGTCCACCTTTGTATTTCCAAAACATACCTGAACCAGCTTTATTAAAAATCAAATTTCTGGAACCTACCCCTTGGAGATTCAACAGGGCTAGGGTAGGACTTATGTGTTTACTTATATTTTTAACAAATACCCGAATAAGTCAATAAATACTAAAATAAAAGAGGTATTGGCATAGGTACTTGATGTGTACATAGGTTGAGGTACATAGGTCTGTGTGATGAATGAATGAAAGACTTAGTGAATGAGTGGATACTTACAATCAAGTTACCCCAGCGGTAAGAGGCCCAGGAGAAGGTGGTGAAGATGGTTTGTACTTCATT